AACAGACCAACATGTCCACAGGGTAGGACTTAGTGTCACTTTTCATCATACCTGAACGCAACACAGTCTGTGCCTTTGAAGTTTACAGCCTCAGATCATTCCTCTGAACATTAACAGCTGCAGAAAGCCATGAAATGCACCATCCTTAAATAAGGTCCATTACCAACTCTGGGCCTGTGGACATGAGAGGCAACATTATGCAGTGACAATGTTCACATTAAAACTTTTTAGACAAAGCAAGCTGGTGGGGAGGAAGACAAGGCAGTAATTACTCTGCTGGGGGATCGTGGTTACAAATATAAACAGCAAAGAGTATGTAAGAAACATAAATGGGGGACATAAAGCACATTGTTTACTTTGTGATGGTCGTGTGAAACCGTTACTGCCGCAGTAATGATGATTAGTGTTGTAACAATTCCCATCAAAGCCCTGCTGCTTCAAAACGCCGTCTCCAGACGCTGCTGTGTGAGCCCTCTGCAGCTACGCTCACTCACAGGTAGCAGGTAAGGAGGCAGTGTATGGGGGAGCGTGTGCAGACAAAAGATAAACAAGGTAGGAAGGAGATGAAAAGGATGATAAGTAGGGTCAACTGCACAGACTTTAACACACATAACTAATCATAATTACTCCTTTAGAATATACACATATTTCAAATGTTTTAAGAGTTGGGGAATGCAAAGTGCTTCTCCTCTCACTTATACACACTCAAACACACCCCACAAGCATCTGGGAGGAAATCACAGCTGTTTATAAACAATCCAGTGACCCCATGACGTGAACAGATTCACTGAGGAGTAATTTATGAGATCAGGGCCAATGCATGGTTCTAACGGGAGATGAATGGTAATGAAGACAAAGAAGGGGAGTTATGAGTAACATCTGTGAGCGGGACTGTTCCGAGCCACACAGGCTCCACTGAGTCTTGTTGGCTGCCATTTTGGCAGTGACAGATTGCCTTATGACAAAAGTTACTAAAAGCCTCCACGGAATACTCCATCAAGTGTAAAAATGTAAAGGAAACAAAACAAACAAAGATAAATGCTTAATTTTGTGATTGACATATCATCTCTCTTAATACAGATCGTTCCATGCTGGCAGGTTTATTGTGTTTTGAATAAGCGGCAGTGCTGAGTTTGAGCAGCTTCTTAAGCAGGTGATTTACAGCCAGATGTCCACTGCTTTGTGAAGTCATTTTTTCTTGGCATCAGCTAGAATTTAAGGCACAAATTGAGCAGAGAGAAACTCGGCTAAACCCTTTGAAAATTTAATTAGCTTTTTATTTAATTAATAAAAGAATGATAGTGGTCTGAGCCAAAGGTTTTAAGTAAAGTGTTTTTTGATTTTTAGTTCCCAATAAATGTTAATAAACAAATTCTTATTTCAGAGTGAGATAACTCCAGTTAGTTCAGAATACAGTATTCAGCTTATTTTATTATTTTCTAAGAGGGGGAGAAATGATAAAAAAAAAAAAAAAAACCTAGCCCTGTGTAATAAGTATTTCCTCTCAGAGCTAATAGTTAGTTATGTTACCTTTGGCAGCAACAACTGCCATCAAGTGTTTGCAATAACTGTCAGCTACATTAGAGAGCTTCAAGCATGAATCACATTTTAAAGGTCACAGCACAGCATTTTGGTTTAAACTCTGACAAAGCTACAGTGGAACCTTTAGTTTTTGAAACATTCAGAGGTCTGAGTTGCTGCCGTGCTTTGGGTCATTGTCATCTTATATTCCCAAAGTACGTTTGAGTCACAAAATGAAAGCCAGAAATTCTTCTTCAGGATTCTCTTGGTTTTATCCATTATGTCTTACCTCAGACATACCAGTGTTTTTTTTTATTTTTTTTTATTGTCATTAGACTTTCACAAGTACAGAGCAATGAAATTAACTCTCTGCATTTAACTCATTCAATTGGGGAGCAGTGGGCTGCCATTTTGAGGCGCCTGGGGAGCAGTGTGGGGTTAAGGTCCTTTGCTCAGGGACCCAGAGCGGTAGTCTGTGGGAGTGGGGCTCAAACCCAGAACCTCAGGATCCCAAGTGCTATACCCTAACCACTAGGCTGCCAGCCCCAATCTGAATTGGTAATAGTGATCTTTGAACATTACATCAAATGTACAATTTGTGTAGTGTTCTTTTTCTAAAATAATTTTATTTCTTTCAAGCAAGATGAATACAGTCACATTTTCCCACTTTCTCTCCCTCATCAGTCTAATCTTGGGATACGTTTAGGCAGTTGCCAATTTGCTTTTTTTGTTCTTTTGCTTACTGCTATGGTTTTTCAAACTCTCTTTCTTATTGCTGAATCATGAACAATGACCTCAACTAAGGTATGATAGACCTGCAGTGCTTTAGATATTATTGGTTTCATTCACTTTATTGTAAGTGAAACCCATAAGCCCTTAGAATAATTTGTGTTAGGCTAGTCTGTCCTGTGGGGCTTTATCATAATTAAATGTTTTGTCCCTTCATGCAAATTTCACTTACCCTGAAAATAGTTTTTTTTAATGTGATGGTTTTCAGTGAGACAAAAAGCTAAATCAGCAGAATTCTGGAATGGGACCAACGCTTTGCAGCATTGTAAAGGCGTCCAGCTCTAAGATTAAGTTGGAGCAGGTTAAATTTATCAGTATGTGATACTAGAACATTTATGCCATGTGTTTGTATATATGTTCCATAAAACAAAATATTTAAATCATTTAGCATCGGTTTGTTGATTAACAAATGCCATATGCCAGAAACCCCAGCAGAAACTCATTAGACTTGGACTTTTATGTGTAGCATTAGTAGAGACATGATCTATTTAGTCAACAAACAACTGCAGCAGCTCATGATTCGCTGGGCATCTCAGCGGTAATGGTTTAAGCAATATTCATTGCATCCCACTGCCTCGCTCTGTGGTGCAGTCACACTTCAGCTGCTGAAAAATACAATCACCCAGTCAGTACTCGGCTGCCTATGGCGCATAAAGCCATATTAAAAGATACCAGCTATATGAACAGAGAACTACTGTGAAACTGTGCTTATGACTTTAGTGTTAAATTCCAGCCAAGAAGTCAGTGTCTCGGAAAATGAATGCAATCTTTATTGTGCATATCATTTATAATTAGATAATACAAGTCTCATTTAATATAATAATATACTAGTTACTTATGCTCATTAAGTACACTGCTCACCAAGCTTATTGGCAATCATGGTGGAGGTGTGTAAAGAGCCTTTAGGTATATTCCATTTTTATTGCATTAGCATAATACCACACAGAAATGAAATATAAAAAATTCAAAATGAAGGCATTTATGAGGTAAAAAAAAAACATACACAGGGGCCAAATGTATTGCCCTGTATTTATGTCTATACTGAAAAAAATCTACCTTAAAAGATTCTTGATAAAAAAGCTTTTATTGGAATCAAGAAAATTGAAATCAGTAATTAATGGCTTGTAGGTTTCCTGCACATATTTTGGCAGGACCCAGAGTCACACCTAAAAGTGGGTAAAACAAGATAACATCTAATATAAGTGAGACAGTTGAGCATTTATTTTCATAAGTCGGAAAAAAGCTGCAAGAAAATGGATGCTTTCCAAAACGTGTTTCCAATTACGGCAAAAATTAAAAGGTTTAAAACTACTGTGATGGTGGCAAAGCTGGATGTGGATCTGAGTCACCATATACAGTGATGAAGGTGGGAGGCAAAACCTCAAAAGCTCACTGTTGGAGAACTCCAGCAAAGGGTGGCTTCTCAAGGTTAGCAAGTCTCCATAACAACCATTAGAAAATATACACGCAAAGCAGTACTTTGGGAGGCAAGCCAGGAAAAAGCTGTTTCTGTCCAACATCGCAATGCCAAGGTCACCTTTGTTACTGAGATTTGAAATCTCAATGGGTCTCCCCATGGGTTAAATCAAGTATTAATAATGTAGCTGGTTGCTAAACACTTCAGAGACTAAAACTCAAAGTAGCTTGGGAAAGAAAAAGATAATTTTAGTAAAAATATGAAGGCTTTAACTTTAAATTTCATAAATAACACATATGGCCTAACAGACAGTCCTAGGGTGAGAAGAGGTTGCATACAATAGTGTGAACTTTACCTGCATTATTAGTTTATTTTACTTAATCACTTATTTACTTTGACACAGTATTTCTTTTAAGAGTCATAGTGACCGCTGCTAATATGTTACTGTAGCACTCTTTTGTCAGTAACTAATACTCTAACATGTTTCTTTAAAAATAATGTAAGTCAGTTCCTGTCACTCTATGATGCGTTGTTCTGTTAAGGGCACACTGGCTATCTCAAAGCTGCTTTTTTTTGGATGACGTGGTTCTGCTGGCTTCCTCCTGCCAAGACCTACAGTATGAACTAAGGCAATACAAAGATGAGTGTGAAGAGGCTGGGATGAGAATAAGCAACTCCAAGTCTGATGCAAGGGTTCTAGACCAGAAAAAGGTGGACTGTCCCCTTCAAATTAGATGAGAGTGGACATGTTTTTTCTGATGCCCCCTGGATGCCTCCCTAAGGAGGCATTCCAGGCATTTCCATAGGGGTGGAGGCCCAGGGGACAACCTAGGACATGCTAGTAGGACTATGCCCCTCGGTTGGCGTGGGAGCGTCTTGAGCTTTTCCCAGCAGAGCTGGAGGAGGTGGCTGTGGAGAAAGTCTGGTAGTCTCTGCTAAGACTGCTGCCCCTGGGACCCCCCCTCGGGTGATGCAGAATACAACGAGTAATTATCAGTAGTTATCAGTCATGGTCAGTGAGGGCTGTAGAAAGCATTATAAGCATGGGTGTAAAAAAATGTGCCGTAGGTAGTTGGTTAACAAGAAATTATCTCTTAACTTGAAATTTTTATCCACTGAATGAATCTGATCTTATTAAATAGTGGAAGTTAATACATTCCTCTATCTGATACTACACTGCTCAATTAAAAGATTAACTGTTTTTAGGACTTATCCACAAAAGTCTATTCAAGCATGCTAATAAGTGAATGCAAAAGGAAATGCTCTTCCTTACCTCCAATTTTTGCGTTAAAGGCCACACCTGCACCACATATCCCATTGTTGGCTACAGCTGCGACTTCCCCTGCACATCGAGTCCCATGTCTGTAAAAAAAAAAAATGATGGGATTACCATGACAAAATAAAAATGAAAAAAGATGCAGCTCAGAAAACAAATAGATTACTACCAGATTCACTCAGCTACAGAGGCTTTTCAAATCTCTCAAATGTGTGAAGCCTTTTAAGAGGAAAATAAAATAGAGTGAAAAAAAAATAAATACTGACCCATTTGTTCTTTTTTAGCTGCAAACCTTTTGTTATCTTAGCAGTAACAAAATAAATAGCCTTCACCATTATGATGAACATCACAAGTCATTTAAATCGAGGCTGCAAGACATTCTTTTCTTTTTGCACTAAACAAACTCAACAAAAATCTAACTCCTCTGCTGAGCTGTATTAATCTCAGAGGTTGCCCTGAAGTTGCAAAATAAGCAGAATCCTTAAAAAAGTAACCCCAGCATCATCATTTTATGCAAAAGAAAAATTAAATTGTATATTTCGACCTATACACGAGTTAAAAAGAGGTTTTGTAGTTTAATCTTATTATATATCCCATTATCATACACTCAAGTTGTTAAAACATCTAGATTTGAGCTAAGCCTTTATTTCAGCATGTAAATACAGCTGAAATAAGGAAATTCATATCAAGGTTATCACTAAACAAATGGAATAAATCAGAATGATGGATGCCGAATTTGACTGAGATAGTTTTAAATACATTTTAAAAAGGATTTATTAGTTGAAAACTTGTAGGATGTTAATTTTTGATTTAGTACTTGTTTGAAATCTCAAATATAAAATATTTATTTATTTATTTCAAATCTAGTTCAATTTCTAAGACAGAGTATTGGAAATCGTTTCCCCCGTCATGAAGGTTTAGGAGGGAATCCTCTTCCAATCAGAAATAATGCTGGGCAAACACACAAAGAGCAGTCAAAAACTACCTGGTGCTTTGATGGAAACTGGCCACAGGCCATCAAAATGAAATATGCATTATTGGTGTACTTGAATTATTCACAGCTCTTCAATAAATCTTTCAACCATGAGTTTCTGAGATCAGGCAGGTTTCCAGGAAAGAATCATCCAGCTGGAAAATTCTCCAACAGTTGAACAAAGAAAAACAGCACTGGCTTTAAAGCTTGTGTTGAAACCTGTTATAGCTGCGCCTTATTCGTTGAAATCCAGCATAAAGTCAGCACAGAGGAGGATTTAATGTATTTCACTGACATTTGGACTGAAAGGAATATAATAAAACTAGATGAATTGAGACCAGTGACTTTGTAGTATTTAGCAAATGTAATTAAGATTACATTTTGATAACAGGTGCAGGTATCTGAATAAAAATAGGATTCCAATTTCTTTTCCAAAGATGTGCCCTGCAATTGTTTTATAACAAAGCTAATGAAATTACCAAAACTGTTTAAGACCAAGAAAATTACCGACGATTAGACGAACCGATGATCACTTTTCCTTTTGTTCTCCCAGCCTCCCTAATGATGAGGTAGAGGACAAAGACTTTTCTCAGGGTCGCCGCACGACGACACCTCCAGCTGGAATCCTGATTAGACTGTTCAGCTCAGTGATGTATAATGAACCTCTGAACTCAAAAACCTTTACTGCAGAATTTATGGCTTCGTTCTAACTTCATTTTGTTGTTGAAAACCAAAGAAAAAAATATATGGATGAAAAAAATCTATCTACGCTATGAAATGATTTAAATTTCAATCTGAGCTGTCAACAAGCAGAAGCATTGGAGTGATTTTAAAAACAAGCAATCAACTTGCCTGGCAAGGCTTATTTTTCACTGACATATATACCCCTGCACAACGACCTCAGCACACACGGCAGAGTGTAATACATCCTAAATGCAATTAGAAGCTGATCATTCTGAACAAAAGGTTAACTATAAACTGGAAGCTATTTCATACTGCATTAATATCAGCACTTGATACAGATTTGACATCTCCACTGAGAACAATCTGTGATCCCATGGGTGAAATCTGTATGATGGAGAGGACAGCTAACTAGAAGCAAGCATGTTTTCTACAATGATTGAAAATAGGAACGTGAAAAATGTTGATTTTGGAGAAACTGATTTTTCTTTTTATTGCAGGGCATCTCTGTGTGCATGGGAAGTGGCAATCAGTGGTTTATGAGGGTACCCATTTCTCATTGTTTAATCAGAGACAGAGACCTGCCCACTCACAGCATTTAGGCCCAGAACGGCGGGACTGATGAATGTCTTGCGTCCTTACAAACTCATTCTCAGATATAAGATATGCTATCATAGGCAGAGATGTGCAAAGTGGGTGGTGAATGGCGCTTCTCTGTACTTCAAATCAAAACACATTGAGATGTAAGACCAAAAGGTCTGTTATCACAGGTCTTCTTTTCTTCACAGAATAAGAATAAGCTGCAAAGCTTTTGGACAGTGGTGGAGTCAACAGATGAGGAAATATGCCAACAAGAATTAGCTTACTAAGTGAACAATCAGTAAACTAATTGTTCAATTAGCTTAATCTAAATGTCAATTAGGTTCCATGCGTGTATGTGTTCACTATAATGTCTCTCTCTAGCGAGATGAATCGTGTGCCAGTTTACAGATTTCTACATTATCAGGAGAAACTACTCTTGCTCTTTTTCAAAACGTTTTCCATTATTGATCACCTGACCAATTTTGGGTCAGGTGATCAATTAGCTTTGATCAATTTAGGTTTCACAGCATTCAAACATTCACCATAATAAAGTAAGTCCATATTCTAATATTTGATTACAACTGAAACATTAATCATTGGTAAACTTTTATTGCAACTTTTATTGCTTATATGCAAAATAAAAGGAAACACTGACGTCTGTTTGCTTTTATATCCTGATCATTCAGAGCGCTGTATTACAGAAACCAATTGGTGCATTTTGTGTAAGTGGGAGGATAATATAAATTTTCTGATAAGGTTGCCTATCAGATCAGTACAACAAAAAGAAGGTCTAGAGAAATGGTCCACCAAAGCAGTTTTAAAATAGAAGATTTGATGATAACAATAAATACCGTGATGTCTTAGAAAGTAAAGATGATGTCACTGTGATGCAAACGTTTAGCAGTAACCATTAAAAAACAAATAGCCATACATGCTGTAAATATGTTATTATATTCTAATATAAAATGATGTGCTTGCGTTGAATTTCAAACAAAAAACTTCAAATGCAGTAGAAACACTGGGTGGGTGATTAAATCATGAATACCACACAAAGGCTAAAGATGATATTACAGAGTTTAGTTTATAAAGAAAAGGGAACATATTGTTGGGATTTGGGCAGATGTTATTTTAAAAAACAAAACAGTTAAACAATTCTACAACAAGAGTACAACTTTTTTTCTTACCAATTATCATCATTCCTCATTCATAACTTGAAGGAAAGGACACCTGAATGCAGCCCTTAGCAAACTGTGGGAACAGCAGCCATGAGAAGGAGACATATTGAAGCAATTACTTCATAATAAAATATTAAGTAATATAATAACCCATTTTAGCACTGAGAATTGTCCCTCCTCTGTGCAAAAAAGAGCACCTTAATTTTCATTAGTGTTGCAGTTCCTTCCATAAATTATTACTTTTTTTTAAATGATAGAGTTCTTGCAAGCAACTTTTCTACTTGAAATGATGAGCGTGATTAAAAATTAAAAACGAGTGCAAGGTGAGATCTACACCCCCCCCCACCATGGCACATCAAGTATTTTTTATGAGTTAGTTTCAAAGATGCTAAATATACTGTTTGCAATATACAGTTTGTTAACCCGACAAATTACTACCTGCAATGCATTGCAGGTACTAGTTAGTATAGTTGATCGGCTTTATGTGTGCTATCAAGTTTGCACATATTTTTGTTCACTGAGAGAGATGGGAGGTCCAAGTTGTGACGCTTATGTCACATCCATTTTTGTTATGTCCAGTTTTGAACATTTTCAGCTGGAGATCACTTTTCAAGAACAGTTTCTTCCCCCGAGCCATTGCCGCCCTCAACTCCGACCTGCACTGTCGGTCACTTTACACCTGTTTTGCACTATCCCCCCCCCCACAATCTGTGCCAGTACTGTTTTACATTTCCTTTTCACTGTTTACATTTCCTTTTCACTGTTTACATTTCCTTTTAATATATTTATATATATTTTTTGTAACTGTTTACATTTCCTTTCCTTTTAATATATCTATATATTTTTTATATATTTTTATTTTATTTTTATTTCACGGTAGCTGTTATGGAACTCCCAAATCTCATTGTATTTGTCACAGAATATAATGACAATAAAGGCTTTTTTTGACTTTTGACTTTGACTTTTGGAATGCAATAAACATGTGCAGCATTAAGAGGTTATGCTGGAGCATTGCTTACAGAGTGTCACATCTTACTAGGAGCCAAAGCAGACGTGCATTGATAAGATGAGGATATCAGATTTGATTCTTTCCATTACATGTTCACTAAAAACATTGCCGCCCATTGTTCTTTGTCTGTAATCCGTACACCCAGTTTCCAATTATGCATGTGGTGTTTGGAAAAGGACAAGTAAAAACAATAATTTTCTATGTTTCATCTGCAGCATGATTAATGTCCTTGCAGTTCAACAACACACAATGAATGTGAAAATCAGCCCTGGGTTTAGAGCTCACACTGTTTTGCTATTACTAAGCAAAGGAAAGAGTGCCTGTAGCTTTAGTGATGGGCAAAATAATACATACTTATGTAGTGTGACTGACCAGATGGCTGGTTAATTTGCATTTTGTATTTAACATCTCTGCCAACAGGACATGTTTATAAGACTTAATATCAAAATAAAGTATTTTTTTGTTTTTTTTAAAGAAATCCTACTGTGATATGAGTCACTTACCTAAATCAAAATGTGTGCTTTTAAAACATGTCAAACATTCAAAGCAACACTTGCCTTTCCAAGACCCCTAATATGCAGGTGTGTTAAAAACCTAATGGCATAAGAGTCAATATACACAACTAAGCATACAAACATTCATAACATGGGGAAATTTAATTGTCAT